CAACGCATGCTGCCGAAACCCAATGCTTCTTCGTAGGCTCTCTCGACCAAGTCCAGACGCAATTTTCCGTCGTTGCGCGACTGAGCCTCTCATGCAATAAGTGGAAGATATCGCGCCAAGGCCAAGACCAATCCCAACCGACTGGCGGACCAACGACCTGCCGCATCAATCGCCGGAAAGCAACGTCGACTCTGCGCAGTGAGTCGCCACGCGGCTTCCATGCGCCAACTCCGCGCACGCCGCGGGCGCTGCGACGCGGCTGAAAAAAACTCGAGCCGGGCAGCGAGAGACATTCTCGTCGCAAAGAATCGCTCTGTTTACAAAGAAAGCCTTGCATGCGGATGTCCGGTAATACCCCGCGTCGAAGTTATACGTTCCAGAACCCCCGGCAGGATTCGCACGGTTGCGCCGGCCCGCGTGGCAATTTCAAGCGGAGGTTGCGCCGCTGTCGTCGTTGTCACCGTCTGGGCCGCATTCAGAGTCAATCCAACTTTGGCCGAGTCGTCGACCAGTGCATCCAGCTGCAGCGTAGCATCGCCCGCTGATCTGGCAAACGATAGAATGTCATCGGCAAAGCGTAAATCTATGTGCGGTCTCAAACCGTCGCCAAAAACATAAACAAGATGCGACGCGCGAGTTCCCCGCGCACGCATGGCCCACTCCAACGCAGCTGCGAACAGAACTGGGCTGGGGGCGCATCCCCAGCGAACGCCAGCATTGATGCGGCACTCCTGGCTGCTGCCCAATCACCCAAGAATTGCCCTTGTTGGTCTCGACGCAGCCGGTGCATTATCCAAATGAGATGGTCGCTGACGCCGAGCTGCCGCATAGCCCCTCACAGCGCTGGCCAAGAGACTCGGTCAAGCGCTTTTGACAAGTCCAAGCTCACGATCCAGAGAGGGATATTCGCCGCTAAAGTCTTTCCTATAACAGGTCTCGCTGTCGACAGATGCTCCTCAAGACGCCGGTGAGAGCCGAAGCAATCCCTGCCCTCTGGTCGATGCGATTCTAGCACGCGCTCGACGCGCCCCAGCAGCATGTAGGCAAACCGCTCCTAGAGTAGCCGAATGCTCGGTATGGGGCGAAAATCGCACACTGCCTTGGCATGCGCCTTCTTTGCCAGCATGCTGAAAAACGTTGCGCGCCATGATTATGGGACGGCTGCGCCGGTAAGAGCAGAATTGCGCAGCGTAAGTAGCATCTCCCCCGCTGCAAAATTCTGATGTTTCAGGGTTACCACCACTAGGCACTGGGCCACATTCGCGCGGGGCCTTCCTTGATTTCAACCTCCAGATGCCCTTGTCGATTTCCTGCATGGCGAATGGCGCCTCTGCGAGAGAAGACGGCGGCATGTCCTCAGGTGCCCTGGCGATGATATCGCGTGCCATGTCGGCAAAATCGCGCGGCGGTGGCTGCTGCGGCGCCTTCGCGCCCGAGATGCGATCGGGGAGTTTTTTCACCCCGCGCCAGCGCGAAGAATGGGACAAGCATCGTCGTCACCGCGCCGTCTTCCAAGCCCTAGCCTCTCTGCGGTGCATCTGGCGGATTTGTAACGACGGCTGCTTTCTGATAGATTGGTCAACCTCCTGCCGCCTCCTGGCCCGCAAAATCTGCAGGGCGCTTGGAGGGGTACATTTGTGTTGAACGGTGCGCCTCCTGCTTCCGCGATGACCAGCGGCTCGTTGCAATGCATTTTCGATGTCTTCGAAGGTAGCGCCACCAGGAGTAAACTGGAAGAGAGCTGCAGATCGACAGTACCACCCCCGCGTTATCGCGAAGATGCACGCGTCTGATGTCGCGGCCCCACAGCGTCTGGGCAAGGCGACACTCGGCCGGTAGGACCGCGCAGGCTTCCAAAATGGCAACGTCCTCGGCGCGGCCCCAGACTCCACTGCGGCAGAGGCTCCACCGCGTTTGGTTAGGCCACCAGGCGGGAACCTCCTCGAAGATCCCATCCAGTGCCCGGGCGCCCTTGGTGGCCGCCTCGGGCACGGTCGGGCGCCAGGGGCCGGCGCCGTCGTCGTCGAAGCCCGCGTGCCGCATGGCCCGCTGACGAGGCAGGCGCCAACTCGCGGCTGAGGCGAAAGCGAATCCGCTCGGCCACGCGACCGACTCGGGCAACCGCTCGGGCATTTATCACGGAGGAGGTAACGCCGAAGCCGCTCTCGGAGGCGTCCGAAGCCGCGACGCTGCAATTCCAGGGCAGCACCCAGACGCTGCCGAGAAGACCAGCAGCTCGCGGATACCGCGCAACTCCTCCACGGCCGAGGGCCACGCGACGGAGGCGTAGCTGGCTGAGGACATGCTGAGCACCTCGCGCCTAACTAGGCCAGCGTAGGTGCAGCGGCCAAGAAGGCACTCCAGGTCCTGGCCCGGCAGCTTCCCCCGCTGCAAATCGCATGCCAGCGCCCGATCCAGCCTACGGCGCCGCTTGCGATGGCGGCGCAGGGAAACTCGCAGTCGACGGTGGCGCCGAGGGCGACGCCCTCCCCCACGAAGAGCTTCGCCTCGTGGATGTTTAGCAGCATCCTGTTGAACGCGGCCACCATCTCCTTGCACGCCCTCCTCGCGGCCTGGGCGCCCTGGCCCTGCGCGCCCAGGTTGTCCGCGCGTGCGTAGTGCCAGAGGTCCTGGTCGCGGCCCTCGCCCAGCCTGCAGGCCGCGGATTCGCCTCGGTCGGTGGCCAGGCGAGCCTCTCGCAGCAGGGCGCACTGCCGCCCCAGGTTCGAGATGGCATTCCGGCAGAAGCACAGCGACCAGGAGCAACCCATGGGCAGGGCGCGGCAGCAAAGGTGAACCCACTCGCTGCCGCTCGCCTCGCGGCCCTCCGCTGCCGCCGCCACCCCGCTGTAGTACCGAACAACCTGCCAAGCCGGGGCGCGGCCAGGGACCCTGTAGGCGTCCAGGATATTCTGGAAGCGCCTAGCCAACAGCTCGAAGCCAGCCAGCGCAGGGGCATTCACATGATCGAAAGTCGAGGCGTATAACATCATGTCAACCAGGCGCGCCAGTTCATGCATCACACGCTCGTTGGCGTCCACCTGCTTCGTCCTGGCCTTGATCTGGAGCCACACCCTCGGGTCGCCTCCGCTCCTCTCGATATGCCTCATCACCTGCAAGTAGGTCGACGGTCCCTCCACGGGGCCACTGTTGGTCGGGCGCGTGGTAACTCTCCTGAGCGGCCTTGCGGTACGTATTGTGCCTCTCTCCCTGCTCATCGTAGTCGATTCACAGCGTCCTGGCATCATCTGCAAACGCAGGCGGGGTAGCTGTGCCACCCACCGCCTCACCGCCCTTCGGCGGCTCTAGGGGAGGGGCCAGAGGCGGGTCGCCTGGTGGCTGCCCCATTTCCGGCGCCAGACGAAGCTTAGCGCGAAGCTCCGCAAGCCTCGCCCGCGTCGCCTCCTCCGCGCCAGGTTGAAATCATGATGGCGGCGAAAGGGCCGCTTAAGAAACCAGGCTGACCCCCCGGCTGCATGCGACTAAAGGCTGCAAGTCGCCGAGAAACATCTGAGCCCAAGAAAAAGTAGTCACAGAGAGCTGACTGAAGACCCGAGCCGAACCAATCCCGCACAGAGCAAGCACGGAGAGCGTTCACAACGAACGCGCCCAACACAGAGCCGAAGCGCAGTTATCGCCGAGCCCCTGCGCGCGCGGAAGAAGGGGTCAGCACGGTGAGGCACGAGCCTCGAGAAAACGACAGGGACGCCCCGTTACACCATTTTAGCACACGCACCCCATCATCATCATCATCATCATCATCATCATCATCATCATCATCATCATCATCATCATCATCATCACCATCATCATCATCATCATCATCAACAACATTATCAGTATTATCATTATCATTGTCATCATCCTCATCGTCATCATCAGCATCAGCATCATCGTCATCATCGTCATTCTCATTAGTTCCACCACCATCATCATCAGCATCGCCACCACTAGTAACATCATAACCATCATCATCAGCATCGCAACCTTCTCTTGTACCGTCATGAACATCATCATCATCGTCATCATCATGATTAGCATCACCATCATCATCAGCATCGTCATCATCATCATCATCATCATCATCATCAGCATCGCCAGCATCATCACCAGCATCATCATCATCACAATCATCCGCATCGTCATCATCCTGATGATACTCACCATGATTGTTACCATAGCCATCCTGATAATCCTCATCGTCTTAATCGTCATCACCATCATCATAACCATCATCATCACACTCATCATCATCATGAGCATCCTCAGTATCATCATGGCCATTCGCACTAGCATCATCAATCCCATCATCGTCATCACCGTCATCATAATCATCACCATCATCATCGTTCTCCTCATCATCATAGCATTAGCATCACTCGCGCCATTACAATCACCATCAACCACGTCATTATCCTCATCATCATGATCATCCTCGGCCACACCATCACCATCACCATCATCCTCATCCTAATCCTCAACCTCTTTATCATCATCACCATCGTCATCCTCCTCCTCATCCTCATCCTCATCCTCATCATCATCATCATCATCATCATCATCATCATCATCACCAGCATCATCATCATCGTCATCATCACCATCATCACCGTCATCCAACCAAGCCCCTCTCCTCCTCCGTCGCCGCCGCCCCCAGCCCTCTCCTCCTCATCCCCCCGTTCTCCCCAGCCCCATCCTTCTCATCATCATCCTCCTCCTTCCCCATTCTCCTCCTCCTCCTGCTCCATTTCACGTCAGACCAACCTAAGCGTGAAGCTGTGAGCCTCCTCCTCCTCCTCCTCCTCCTCTTCGTCGTCGTCCTCCTCCTCCTCCTCCTCCTCCTCCTGCTGCCCCCCCTCCAGTGTGTCGATCAGCGGGCGTGATGCCCCTCATCCTCGGACTGTCCCCAGGTGCTGTCCTGTCTTATCCTATCCTCCTTCTCCTGCTCCTCCTCGCTCCTTGCTCCCCCCCCCCTCCCCTCTGCAAGGAAAGCACGTCACCGTCAGAGTCAGCGTGGTGCCCGTTGTCGAGTCGCCCACCTTGGACCACGTGCACGAGCCCGTGCCCGAACCTCGGGCGGGGGGGGCGGCGGGCGGAGCGAGAAGGAGCTCAGCGCCAGACAGCCTTGGACAGCGACGGCGACGCGGGGCACGGACAACGATGACTCCTCATCCTCCTTCCTCCCACTCCTCCCGCTTCTCCTTCCCGTCTTCCTTCCTCCTCCCTCTCTGTCCTCCCCGTCCCCTCATCCTTAAAAATTCCCCCCCCCGCCCTTCCTCGCCTTCTCTCCTTCGCCTCCCCCGGTCTCCCGACGGCACGACCCCCGTCCTGTTCTTCTGGCTGCTAGTCCTTCTCCTCCCTGTCCTGCTTTCCCTGCCATGTTCTACCTTTCACCTTCTCCGCCCCCGCTTCCTCGTCCTCTTCTCTTCTCCTCCTGGACGCCTTGGTGGTCAGAGCCACTCGAAAAGAGAACCAGCAACGGGAGTAAGAGGGGGGACCTGGACAGGCAGGAAGAACACAATCGTTGTCCATTGGTACCCACTGTAGCAAATTCTCCTCGACGGCTGGAAATCATCAGGTCGCCAGAGAGAGCGTCCGGCCACTTGTTTGAGGTATAACCCTCGAGAGGGCTCGCACGCAGAGGTCAGTTGCACTCAGTACTCTATTCTTGCCAAATCTTTGCACCAACCAACACGTGCCACGACCGCCGACTAGCTTGACTGAATGTTCAGAGGACTGGCGGACGGTATTCTTTACGGAGCTTCACCATGGCAGATGGTAGATCCACTTGCCTCCTTGGGGGCCCACAGGCCGCGAGGACTAGGCTCCCCAGTTCCCACACCAGTTCCCACACTTTAGCTGGACTTATGTTAGCCAGCGTGAAACTCGAACAGTGTGTCTCTAGCAATCTACGTGGTGCAAACCATGTGGTGCAACCTACGCCATGTGCTGCAGACTGTGTGGTGCAATCTGAAAGGCGGCGACAAGGCAGCGAAGGGCGGCGACGGCGACAACATAGTCGCCAGACTAACGCACAGGCCCAAACGACGGGCGGCGTCGAGGCGGCGACGGCGACAACATAGCCGCAGGACCAACACACAGGCCCAGACGACCAGCGGCGACGAGGCGGCGACGGGGCGGCGACAGCGACAACATAACCGCAGGACCAACACACAGGCCCAGTTCCTTAGACCATAGCTGAGATACCCCAAATGCAAGTGCTGACTGGGGAATGGATGTGATTGTTGTATTACCAGCGTTGTATTGATTGAAATCTGCGCGAAGGGGTGGACCGCACGCGGGGGGGTGCCCTGGACCATGCAAAATACAACATACTCGCGATCCCCAAGCCATAGTCCCACGTACGTGCTGCACGCCTGGTTCGCGCTCCTGGGGCCAGAACCCTTCATACCTTGTGACAGAAGCCCTCGTAAAGTACGCCAGGCTCGTAATCCAAAGCCAGCGACAGGCTCGCGCTCCCCACGCCACAGCCCCTTGTGAATGACACCAGGCTCGCGTTCCCGACGCCACAAGCATTAGTAAAATGACCGATCTTCGCGAACAATCCCTTGCACGTTACGCCACACTTGGGCCAGTCAAGCCGCAGCCCCTTGCAAAACGCACCAAGCTCGCGCCGCCGAGGCCACGAGCCATGGTGAAGTACAACGAGTTCGCGCTCCCGAAGCAGACATCACCGGCACAATACGCCAGACTCGCGGCTCCCAGCCCACATCCCATACAAGAACAACCATACCAACCTCGCGCTCTCCAAAACCACAATCTGCTGTGGATTGCACCAGTCTCGCGCCCTCCGTGCCACCATCCCTCGCAAACAGCGGCAGGCTCGCGCTCCCAGAACCGCACCACGGTGCAGATTACGTCAAGCTCGAGCTCCCAAGGCCACAACCCCTCGTACATGATGACAAGTTTTCGCCTGCGAAGCCACAATCCTTTAAAAATCACTACGCGCTGGCACTCCCGAGGCGACGAAGACACCCCACGGAAGCTGCCCCAAAGCGGCCCCCCACCCCCCTGCAGAGCAGAAACACCTTCACTATCTAAAGGGTGCTTGCGCTCAGGGGTTTGTACTTTCCTGTTGCTCGAGGAACCAACTTGGTTTCCAAGACTTCCGCGCCCGTGGGCGCCTCATGGGCGCCCCGTGTGTGGTGGAGTTGCCGCGAGGTTTCGCCTGGTGCCCACCCGAGGGCCCCTCGTGAGCTAGGGCTCCCAACTTCGCGCTTCGCGCTGCGCGAAGCGCGAATAACTTCGCGCTCTCGCGCCGCCCTCCCAAAGGGAGAATAGGAGGACGAGGAGGAGGGGGAGAAGGAACGAGGACCGCGAAGCGCGAAGCGCGAATAACTTCGCGCCCTCGAGGGGCCCCTCGCGAGCACCCCGCGCGAGGGTGGGTCTCCCGACGTTTCGCCTGGTGCCCGCCCGTGGGCGCCGCGTTGGCGCCGCGTGGTCGCCCCGTGGGCGGCCCGTACGCTTTCTCCACTGACTACCTACCAGACCACCCCAACCCAACCCGAAGACCCGAATTTCGGGTTGGGGGGGGTAAGGGTTCCACATGTGTTTTTTCGATGTTTCCCGACCCCCCCCCCCCACTGGGAATCGAGGGTAAATCTGAGCCTTCGGGTTGGGTTGGGGTGGTTTGGTGGGTGGTGATCCACAGAGCGCAGGCAGCATCACTCACACCACACAGCTTGTGCCACACAGCTCGGCCACGCGGCCTGCACCACATAGCTTGCACCACATGCCTTGCACCTCGAAGCAGTCACCACATAGCTCATACAACTTGTTTCGGATGGAGGAGGTGAGAGCCAAGAGCACGAATTGAGCTCCAGCCCCGGCATGCTGCACGACAGCAGCACGTGACACAAACGTGGGGGCACACGTTGGGTGAACAGCCATGGGGCAAACATTCAGTGCACGGCCACTGTGCTACACCTGTCGCAACAGCGCAGGGGAAGGAGCGGAGGAAGGGGAAGGACCGAAAAGAGGACGACGAGGAGGACGAGGAGGGAGAGTGGGCAGCGAGGTTGCCAAAAGTGGCTGTCACACGAATCCGCTGCTTGCGACTCTGGCAAATGCCAGAAATAAAAAGGAACAAGGTCTTAAAGGGGAAGAGGAGAACCGGGGAGAGGAGGATCATGAGGAAGAGGTGGAGGAGGAGAAAGAGCAGAGGAGGACAGGATAACTGAGCACATCGAAAACTCGTGCGTGCATAGGCCTGCCTGGGCAGACGGTACCCGCACAGAAACCCGCACGACCCACCAGGAGGAGGGAGATGATGAACAAACATTGGCTGGAAAACATCAAGCGGAACAGCTCGACCCACCGTAAATGACCGCCCGCGGCCAGCTCAACACTGCACTGTTGGCGGACAGTGCTCTTACACCACATAGATTAAACAACATAGCTCGCACCAGATAGCTTACACACCAAAGCTTGAACCACATGACTTATTCACCAGAGCCCACACCAAATAGCTTACATAAAATAGATCACGCACCAAAGCTTACACAACACAGCTCAACTGACGCAGCTTGCACGACGTAACTCACACTGCAAGTCCGCCGAACCCCGCTTACCTGGGCGAAAGGCGTGTGACACTTTGGCCCTCACCCTTCCCCTCACCCCCTATTTGAAGGGGGGGCCCGGGCTCATGAAGGGGGGCTGGCTCCCCAACGCACCCCTGAAGCCTCTGGAGCCTGACAATCCACCCTCTGTGGCCGCCAAGATTCCGAGATGCTTTCTAAGATGGCTCCAGAAGAGCTCAAATACGCTGAAATAGCCCTAAGAACACCCAATCCAGTCTCGAGGCGACCGGAGACGCCGAAAGAAAATCCCAAGAAGACCCCCCCGCAGGGCCTCAAGAGGCACAATACAGATATATCTATATCTATATATATATACACACATACCTATACGACCACCCTTCGGGTGATAAGGAGGTTCGGGGGGGAAGGATGCAGCGTCTCACTCGATCGGTCTCACTATCCATCTCACTATCGGTCTCGCTCGATCGATCTCACTCGATCGATCTCACAATCGATCTCACTCGATATATATCATTCGCTCGGTCTCACACTTGATCTGATTATCGATCTCACAATAAATCTCACATTCGGTCTCACTATCGATCTCACTACCGATATCACAATCGATCTAACATTCAACGTCATCATCATCACCAACACCATCATGTTCCTCGTCATCGGGACACTGTCGTCATCATCATCATCGTCATCATCATCAACGCCATCATCATCAGGATCATCATCATCCCCATCATCATCTCATCATAGTCAGCAGCATCATCATCATCATCGGCACACAGCATTCGTCATCATCACCATCAGCATCATCATCATCATCATCGGGACACCATCATGGTCACCATCATTGTCATCGTCAACATCATCAACAACATCGGGACACCATCATCATCATCATTGAATCATCATCATCGTAATCAACAGCATTATCAACATCATCGGGACACCATCACCATCAGCAACATCATCGTCACCAACATCATCATCAATATCATCATCGGTACACCATCACCAGCACCGTCATAATCATCTTCATCGGGATACCATAATCATCATCAGCAGCATCATCATTACCAGCATCATCATCAACAACAACGGGCAGAAACATCAACATCATCGTCATCTCATCATCATCAACAATATCATCAACATCACCAGGGGGACACAGCCATCGTCATCATCACCATCAGCATCATCATCATCGGGACACCATCATGGTCACCATCGTTGTCATCGCCAACATCATCAACAACATCGGGACACCATCATCATCATCAGCTCATTATCATCATCATCATCATCATCATCAACAGCATCATCAACATCATCGAGACACCATCATCATCAGCAGCATCATCATCACCAACATCATCATCAATATCATCATCGGTACACCATCACCATCACCATCATCATCACCACCGTCATAATCATCATCGGGATACCAGAATCATCATCATCAGCATCAGCATTACCAACATCATCATCAACAACAACGGGCAGAACATCAACATCATCGTCATCTCATCATCATCAACATCATCATCATCACCAGGACACCATCATCGTCATCATCATCACCATCAACACAACCATCATGATCATCATCAACATCATCATTATCGGGACACCGACGGGGCACCGACGGGACACCGGCGGGACACCGCGGGCCCCCGGCCGCCCGGAAGGGAGTCATTTGGTCCGGCCGCGCCTCAGCCACACGGGACAACAGCGGGACACCGGCGGGACACCGCGGGCCCCCGGCCGCCCGGAAGGGAGACATTTGGTCCGGCCGCGCCTCAGCCACAGGAGACTTTCTCTCGCCCGCCCACGCAGCTTTGCCTCGCCCGCACGGCACGCACGAACACGAAACCGAAATCGATTTCCCGGTGGGGGGGCTCTCCGTTCCACTTCGATCTCACCCCCTCACCTCCGATTGTTCCGTTCGTTTTTGCGTGATGCTCGCGTTCTCGGCTGTTTGGCGTCTGCGCGCTCAAGACGGCTCAAGAGGCCCCGCAGACTGGACCAAGCCGGCCCAGGAGATCATCGAATCGGCCCAGAGACGGCCAAGGAGGGCCACAAGACGGCCCAAGAGGCCCCCAAGACGGCAGACAAAAATGTGAATGTGGCCCCAAGAGAGGTCCAAAAAAAGAAACCCGCAGAGGCCCTTGGAGCCCTCACCCGGCAGATGGGTCCAAAGACCCCCAACTGGCTCCAAGAAGCTCCCACAAAGCCCCCAAAGGGCCCCCCACCCCGCCCCCCCCTCCCCTTCGGAAGCCTAGAACAAGCCCCAAGAAGCCGCCACCTAGGCCGCCAGCAGGCCCCGAATATGCCCCCCTATCGACGGCGAGCCCGGTGGGGGAGTGAGAACGGGCGGGCCTATTCAGAAGGCTCGGAAGTCCCCCCGGCCCTCTGAAAAGTGTTATGAGCCTCCCCCGAAGACAGAGAAGACTTCGAAGACTTCTCAGAAGGCCCGAGGGCTTCTGAGAAGCCCCGCCGCCTTCTGAGAAGGCCTTCTCCTTCTCACTTCACCCCCTCGCTCGCCGCCGACCGTTTGCTCCAGGAGGCTTCAAAAACTGCTCAAATGAGACCCCCCAAAGTTCCTGATTATTCTCAAGGACACCCCCCAACTGCAAGAGGGGCACCTCAAACAAACAGAGCCTGGGCAGCATTGATTGCAAGCCGTCCAGTTTTCCTCGATATCCTCCTCCTTGTCCTCCTTCCTCTCACCGTTGTCGTCCTCCTTTTCCTCCCTCTCCTTCATTCTCCGAATCTCAAGATGAGAAAAATTATATCGACCATCCGTGACGCCACTCCGGGAGCATCTCGCTTCATGCTCGACGCGCAACATATTTCAGCGCTCCATCTCGAGAAGTCCCGGATAGGTCAGCTCCATGCGCGGAGCAGCGACTGTGCGGCGGCCACTCCTCTCACGCACTGGGCCACTGAAGGCATCCCATGCACGCGACGGCGTCCAGGAAACAGCCAGCACGCTCCCAGGAAGCATCGACAAGGCTTCAAGACGCCCCCCAAGGCGCCCACAAGGCCTCACTTCGTCTGGGGGTCGGCGGAATGGCGTAAGCCCCTTGACTAATCCGACCAGCCTTTTACAGTGTGAGTGGTTTAGCGAGTTTCCTTGTCCATCCCGCCTCAACCTCTTCTGGAAGTGGTTTATCACTGTTCCCTATTAATATATCCCCCCTCCCCCAGGCGACCGGCAGCCAACCAGGAACAATACCGACCCTATACTCACACTCCCCCAACCATCCCTGTCAACAAAACAATACAAAACACACTGTGCCTCCAAATTCGGAGCATGCGCTACCAACCCGATGCGCCACCCCCACCATCCCTGTCAAAGAACCATACAACATACACTTTGGAGCGAAGTCTTGAGCCGTGTTCGTGAGGCCAGCGAGCACTTTGTAGTGTTTTTGATAGGAACGGCGGGGGTGTCAGCATATTACCTGCTGTGCGCAGGGCCACCGGCCCTGTCAAAAACAAAACAAGAAGCACCTCGCGGCTAAATCTGGATCATGCGCGACCGCCCGTGATCACGGTCAAGTGTTTTTTGGCAGGGACGGCGGGGGTGGTGGCGTATGGCCTGGTGTGCGCAGCCCCCCCAAACACAACGATGGGCTTGGTTTTCGAAAAGGATGGTGGGAACCGACATGTTTCCCGATGTGTGCTGTCACGTGCGCGGCGCACCTGACACACTCTGCACGTGCCCCGAACGTGGCGCACCTGCCCCGGCTGGAGCACCTGGCGCACGTGGCGCATCTGGCGCACCGGGCGTGCCTGGAACGCTCGGGCCCCAGGCGTGCCTGGCGCGCGTGGCTCGCCTGGCACGCATGGCCCACCTCGCCCCCTCGTCGCGCACATGGGGACATAAGGTCGGCTTTGGTTCCCCGTCGCTGCCGATCCAAAGACAATCGCTGAACATGCCCGGGTGTTACTATGTATTGGGAGGGCGGGTGGGAGTGAGCTAGACGGCTTGCTATCTAGGAGGGTGTCTTGGCCCCTCCCCCTAACCCCTGCCCCTGGACCTGGACAGGGGGGGCGCGGGCAGTTGGAGCGTGCAAGACGGCCTCGGCGAGAAGGCCATAATCACTGATGGTACGCAAAACAAATGTTTGGCCACATGCTTGCCGCCTGGGGGGGGCAATAATTAAGGAGCCCCCCTCCTTAGATCAAACTCCTGGAAGATGGCCCCAGTATGGCCCCCGAGCTCCCAAGGGTGCCCCAAGACGGCCCAAAGAGGCGGCCGGGAGGCCCCAATTGACCCCAAAGACGCCCCCAAGATGACCCCCAGAGGCTCCCGAGGTGTCCCCGAGAGGCCCCACGAGGCCCCTCAGAAGCACCCAAGATTCCCAAGAGGACTCTGGCACTGCCAAGAGACCCCCAAGACGCCCCAAGAGGACTCAAAAAAACCCTCGAAAGACATCCGAAGAGACCCCGAGAAACATCAAAGAGGCCTCTGGCCTTTCAGCTCCCGTTCCTCCTCCTCCTCCTCCTCCTCCTCCTCCTCCTCATCCGCCTATTCAGCCTCCTTCCTCCCTCCTCCCTCTCCCCCTGTCCATACTCCTCCTTCTCCTCCTCCTCCTCCTCCTCCTCCTCCTCCTTCTGCTCCTCCTCCTATTCCTCCAGCATCCTCCCACCTTTGGGGTGCGACAATTCACCCAGTTCTTTATTCCACTGCATGCTCCTCCACATCCCTGATCAGGGCAACTCGTCAGGGCTTCGTTCATGGATGGGCTTGTGCGGTTACTTTTTTTTTGATCTGCGGCTCCAAGGACGATTCCAGAGAGCGGGTCGTATCGAGCATGGGGCAGCACGCAAGATAATTGCCAGCGGACCAAAAGCCGACGCTGGAGTGCACAGGCGCCAGAGAGAGCGCGGGGGGGAAATACACTTTGACCGCGGCTCCAAGGACGAATCCAGAGAGCGGGCCGGAACTAATTGCCAGCGGGCCAGCTTGTGCGGTTACGCGAAGCATCTAGAATACAAAACATAGCATACCCCACAGTTTTCGCAGCAGGTCTTTCACCTCCGCAGTGCAATAACTCACTGTTTGGGGCCCACGCTAGCCAACCTCTTGCTTGCATTGGGATGCGGGTTCCGGGGACGTTTTTCGCCACCCCATCTTCATTTTCTTAAATTGTTGGGGGGTGCGCGCTTCGGGAACCTCGAGCACCCGTACATTACAATTGAGACGTGTACCTCAGGACACCGCCTCGAAGTAGTTGTGACAGACGCGTGCAACCAGCCAGCCAGCAAACAGCCCAAGTCAATTGCAAATTCGCAGCTTCGATAATAAACGAGTCAGCCGGGTTGCCAGCCAACCAGCCAAACGACAATCAACCTAACCAACCTATCAACCAAGCGTGGCCATGCAAACGATCTGAGATGGGCCAGCGGCAGAAGGCGAAGAACTCCAGATATTCAAACATCCGGCTCGAGACCGTTATCACCCATGTCTGAATCAATGCGCGGTCTCAAATTGCAGCGATCGAACAATTGTTTGAAAAACCAGGGAGTGCAGAACCAAGAGTTGCCAAGTAGCAGTCTGCGCACGCCCAGCATGTAATCCCACATGCTTCCCAGCATGAGCAAGTATGGCTCCCTCCTGTTCCCCCCTCAATCCCTCCTCCTCCTACACTTCTGGCCCCTTCCGAAAAAAAACAGCCCTGGGCCGACTACCGATACGAGAACTCTTGCGACGCACCGCCTCCGCGCCGAGACAGCCGGCGAAGACCCCCAGAAGGATACCACTCGGAGTCCATCGCCGTCTGCCTCGGTCCCTGGCTGCGCCCAGCGCGCCAACCGTCGCCGCTGCCGCCGCCGTCGGCACGTCGTCTCGAATGCCGTCGGTGAGAAGGCGAAAACCCACCCCCACCCCCAGTCCCGACCCTATCCCCGAACCCGCGATTCAAGGGGTCGGGACTGGGGGTGGGGGTGGGCTTTCGGGGCCCAGGAACGGAGAAAACTCACCCCCACCCCCGATCCCGACCCCTTGAATCGCCGGCTCGGGGATGGGCGTCGGGACTGGGGGTGGAGGTGGGTTGTCGCCTCCCGAGTCGGCGATCCGTCGCGTGCCGGCCCGACCGCCGTCGCCGGCGGCGCCGCGGCCTGCGGCAGCGATCTCGGACACGGTGTACGCGCTCGTGCACGCGAAGAACGACCTGGCGGGGGGGTCCACCGGCGCGCCCCTGGGGCCGGCTCCCTCCTCCTCCTCCTCCTCCTCCTCCTCCTCCTCCTCCTCCTCCTCCTCCTCCTCCCCCTCCTCCTCCTCCTCCTCCTCCTCCTCCTCCTCCTCCTCCGTCCCAGTTGCTGCTGCTGCCCCGCCTCAGCCTCCTCCCCCTCCTCCACGCCCCTCGTCCCCCGTCCGTCTCCAAATCCCAGCTCGCCACCGTGCTGCCATCACTGCTCCAACTGCCGCATCCGCCTCCTCCACCTCCAGCCTCTTTTCTTCCTCGCGTCGCATCTCTCTCCAGGGCGAGGGGAAGAATCGTGAGGAGACGACCCGAAGAAACGAATAGTTTGAGGAAGTTTCTGTGGAACTCACGTCATCCTCACCCCCGGCGCGAAGAGCACGAGTCCAGAGCGGCCTCCGGCACCGTTTCCGGACAGATCCGGTGGATCCGCTGGATCCGCTGGATCCGGTGACGAATCCCAAACCGGCGCCCTCGCTTGAGACATCCTCACAAAACCGGCCCCGGGGGAGGTGCCCAGAGGAGCCCAGAGCGGCCTCCGGCACCGTTTCCGGACAGATCCGCTGGATCCGCTGGATCCGCTGGATCCGGTGACGAATCCCAAACCGGCGCCCTCGCTTGAGACATCCTCACAAAACCGGCCCCGGGGGAGGTGCCCAGAGGAGCCCAGAGCGGCCTCCGGCACCGTTTCCGGACAGATCCGCTGGATCCGCTGGATCCGCTGGATCCGGTGACGAATCCCAAACCGGCGCCCTCGCTTGAGACATCCTCACAAAACCGGCCCCGGGGGAGGTGCCCAGAGGAGCCCAGAGCGGCCTCCGGCACCGTTTCCGGACAGATCCGCTGGATCCGGATCCGGTGACGAATCCCAAACCGGCGCCCTCGCTTGAGACATCCTCACAAAACCGGCCCCGGGGGAGGTGCCCAGAGGAGCCCAGAGCGGCCTCCGGCACCGTTTCCGGACAGATCCGCTGGATCCGCTGGATCCGCTGGATCCGGTGACGAATCCCAAACCGGCGCCCTCGCTTGAGACATCCTCACAAAACCGGCCCCGGGGGAGGTGCCCAGAGGAGCCCAGAGCGGCCTCCGGCACCGTTTCCGGACAGATCCGGTGGATCCGCTGGATCCGCTGGATCCGGTGACGAATCCCAAACCGGCGCCCTCGCTTGAGACATCCTCACAAAACCGGCCCCGGGGGAGGTGCCCAGAGGAGCCCAGAGCGGCCTCCGGCACCGTTTCCGGACAGATCCGGTGGATCCGCTGGATCCGCTGGATCCGGTGACGAATCCCAAACCGGCGCCCTCGCTTGAGACATCCTCACAAAACCGGCCCCGGGGGAGGTGCCCAGAGGAGCCCAGAGCGGCCTCCGGCACCGTTTCCGGACAGATCCGGTGGATCCGGATCCGACGAATCCCAAACCGGCGCCCTCGCTTGAGACATCCTCACAAAACCGGCCCCGGGGGAGGTGCCCAGAGGAGCCCAGAGCGGCCTCCGGCACCGTTTCCGGACAGATCCGCTGGATCCGCTCCGGATCCGGTGACGAATCCCAAACCGGCGCCCTCGCTTGAGACATCCTCACAAAACCGGCCCCGGGGGAGGTGCCCAGAGGAGCCCAGAGCGGCCTCCGGCACCGTTTCCGGACAGATCCGCTGGATCCGGTGGATCCGAATCCCAAACCGGCGCCCTCGCTTGAGACATCCTCACAAAACCGGCCCCGGGGGAGGTGCCCAGAGGAGCCCAGAGCGGCCTCCGGCACCGTTTCCGGACAGATCCGGTGGATCCGCTGGATCCGCTGGATCCGGTGACGAATCCCAAACCGGCGCCCTCGCTTGAGACATCCTCACAAAACCGGCCCCGGGGGAGGTGCCCAGAGGAGCCCAGAGCGGCCTCCGGCACCGTTTCCGGACAGATCCGGTGGATCCGCTGGATCCGCTGGATCCGGTGACGAATCCCAAACCGGCGCCCTCGCTTGAGACATCCTCACAAAACCGGCCCCGGGGGAGGTGCCCAGAGGAGCCCAGAGCGGCCTCCGGCACCGTTTCCGGACAGATCCGGTGGATCCGCCGACGAATCCCAAACCGGCGCCCTCGCTTGAGACATCCTCACAAAACCGGCCCCGGGGGAGGTGCCCAGAGGAGCCCAGAGCGGCCTCCGGCACCGTTTCCGGACAGATCCGGACAGATCCGGTGGATCCGCGCCCCGGGGGAGGTGCCCAGAGGAGGAATGAGGAGGAGGAGGAGGAGGAGGAGGAGGAGGAGGAGGAGGAGGAGGAGGAGGAGGAGGAGGAGGAGGAGGAGGAGGAGGAGGAGGATGGAGAGGAGGACCGGAGGCAAGAGGAGGAGGAGGAGGAGGAGGAGGACCTCATCCTCACCCTCGCCAACAAGCGCACGCACCTTCTTCTATATACAGAAACTCCCGATCAACCGCAGAGCGGCCGGCTAGTAGAAGCTACGCGCGGAAGGCTGAAGATGAGGAGGAATACAAAAAACAACATGGGGGAGAGAAACAAAAGGACAACCACGACGAAGCAATCACGGAGACCACGAAGAAAAACCGGTCGAACACTGACATTAACAATGTGGCAGTGGCGGCTCAATAAAACCCAAAGCGACAAAACACGAACCCCGAAACCAGACCCACATGTCCATACAGAAGGCGAAGTACGCGTAGACGAAGAAACCACAACAGAAAAACATATACATTTTCGGAGATCCGCCCGGACTCCTTGGATCGGCGCTGGAACCCCCTCCTTGGCGCGGACCGCGCCAGGGGGGCCCAGTGGAGATCCAAGAAATCCGCGCGAACCTCTGAAAATCTGTGCCAGGCAGTTTGCTCGTCGTCGAACGTGCCATCGGAGACTCCTCGCCCCGATGCGCCCAGACCCGCCCATCCTCCATCAACCTCGACATCCCGGCCCCGCGCAACCAAAGAAGACTGCCGCAAAACGCAGGAAGGCGCACAACTCCTTGAAGAGGAACAGAGGGAAATGAAGGCGAGCAAGGGAGTGCGGGGAGGGGGCTAAGCGCGCGGCATGCACTGGTAGACGATGACGCTCTGGCAGCTCTCGGTGGTGTCGCACAGCGTGAGCGACTCGGACAGGTCACCCACCTCGGAGCGACCAGGCCCAGGCGGCGCAGATACACCAATACACCCTGCGAAATGCTTAAGAAATCATGGGTTAAGAAATTCATAGTCTCAGAACTTGAATAAAAACCCAACATGTCTACTAAAATCTTCAGATTTACATCGAAACGTTAAGAATAATCGAGACTCTGGCCGAAAACTTAAGTTTTCTTAAGCATCGCCTAAGGTGTACACCAGAGAGGTCATAAAGCATATCGGGAGTGTGCCTTGTCTTCTGGCAGTGGAGACAGCGATGCCACCACACACCTGCTTGTGCCGATCTCAGCAGCAGCGCAACGAACGCTGCGCACAAACCAGATCATCGACGAGTACGTAAGCTCCGCGCTGTGCGAATCAGAAAGAAGCCCTTCGTAAGTATTTGAGCTCAACAAGGTCATGCTAGACCCCGCATATCTCAACCGTTCGGGCTTCAACACCAAAGCGGACACATATACCCAACGCAGAACGTATTGCTCCCACCTGCGGCAATACTAACCCAAAACCACTGGGTGGCGCGATCAGGTGACGAGCATACCTGCTGACAAAAAAACAACTGCATGAAGAGGCACTAACACGGCTCTCCGAACAATGTACCAGCGCACAATATAAAGTGCAAGTTGTGGCGCGCAACCTCTCGAACCCATGCGTGCGAGATCCGATCATGAAGGACCATAGGGTAGGCACGCGATTTGAGGCATTGGCCTTCCAGCGGGTGCCCCACGAGAAAGCTTAATCCTCCATTTGGCACAGAGGCCCCTATGGCACCAACGGGGCCCAATGTCTACGATGAATGTGTACATCACCTTATAGCAAGATTATGGTTCGCATGCGTTTGTTGCTGCACCGTATAGCAAACGGGACCTGGGAGGACGATGCGGGGAGATTCGGGCCAAGCTCGCATCAGACGATTGAGCACGAACACTGAAATACGAGAGCGCTAACCAACGGTGGCACCCATGTCCGAAGCGAGATCGTGAGTTGCTGAGCTGCGCACGCTGCTACAAAGGCTGAAGAACGTATTGTCGTCCACTCCGACCCCCTCTATGAACGTGTTCGCCAGGCCCGCAGTCGTGCCTGAGGCGGGCAACGCGACTGTCACGACTTGCTCAAGCTGGCGGAAGCAGGGGCAGGTTTGGCGAACTAGGCCAGGTTGCGTCGCTGGTGACATTTGCAAAGCATGCGCCTCGACCACCTGACCAAGCACATGTGCAACGTAATGGCGATGACACGAAAGGCGCAATGATGATTTGAACAAGGTGCGACCAACCACGACGACACAGCACTTCATGCGGGGCCCCAGTATATACACCACCACCAGGCGGCCATAAGAAAGGAACAAATCCTGCGCGCGACCGCCCTGACAAAGGTGCCACTGCCTGTCCCCGCCAAGCGCAAGTACTTGCCACGTAGTCATGCGCGCAGATGGCGGCCGTATTCGGTCGCGGACAGTTGTTCCCTAGCACCCTATGGCAGCACGGTGGTGGTGTATACAAACGATGGACCCCCAAGAATTGTATACACCATCCCGAAATATACACCACGTGCATGTGTTGTTTTGTGCGCGCGCAACCGCGTGCCCAAATGACGCTGCACACGCGACATGTCATTACCGCGAGATTTCACGCACCCTACAACCCACCGCCAAAACAATAATCCGATCACCCCCCATGACATAAAACCAGCCCGCGGTGGTGATGTATATGCGTGGGAAATCAATGCTCCTGGATCCCTGCTGAATCCACAAATGCCGCTGCCATCCCGTATCTGCGGGATTGCATTGCGCACGTGTTTAGATGCACATGTGTGCAGGATGTGTGCATATACATCCACAGACATGTCCATGCAGAGAGAGGGGGGGGAAAAGGAAAGGAGGGAACGAGGTGGAAAGGGAGAGATATAACACGTCGCTTCCATGCGTGCGTGTATATATGTGCATGCGTGTCTAAGGCGAAGTAAGTGTATATGCACGTAAGGCACGTGGGAAGCACATACAAAGAATTTGAGAGAAGGGTTGCGCGGAGAAACAAAACTATGTGAACACACCAACATCTATATATGAATGGTAACCCCCAAAAAAACATCACCTCCTTTCCGCCAAGCGGACTTCACCGTGCCCCTCCGCTGGGCTGAACCGTTCCCCACTTCGTGTTTTTTTTTGAACGATCGCTCATCAACTAAACCGAACTACGACATGCCAGCCAATCCCAGTATGGCCCCCTCACCCCCCCCCCTTGTCCCTGGCACACTAAGTTTTGCGGTGCGGGTGCGGTCATCTACGAAGTAGATGTTCCCAAAGCCGTGCACCAGCACACACGATGTGGGGAACATGCGCGCGACGTTGCGCGTGTCAAAACCAATCACAAGCATAGTTGCCCTACGCATGCCGGGACATAGCGACGCAACAACTATCGGAGATATGTGCCCTTCCCTGAACGAGCCACGAGAAATAAAACTCTACTTTTAAAACACCATTTTGTCAAAGTGCACCATGCGGGCCACACGCGAACGCATGTTGAAAACGTCGGCAACCATCGCGAGCCCGCCACCCTTGTATACAACGCGGGCTACGCGAACGCCCACTTCCTTCCGAACATGGAGGTTTCCTGACAATTTGAAAACAAACGTGCACAACACACGTGTGCAAACCCAACGGCTCCCACCAAAAGAAAGGTGTCAGAAAAATATGAACTCTGGCGGGCGCGTATTTCCTCGCCATCCTTATCAACATTTCCGCCGTCATCATCGACGGCTGTGTCTCCGTCGTTACCCGTCATCATCAACACCATCGTCGTCATCCTCACTGACGCAGTCACCGTCGCATTCACCGGTGCCGACACCGTCGACGAATCTCTTCGTTGGCGCATATAAACACCATCGACAACGTCATCGCTGCAACCGCCATATCATCACCATCGTTTTCATCACGAACACCATCGTCGTTGACGACATCGTCCCCATTATCGTCGTGAACATCACCGTGTTCGACGTCGTTGTTCGTCGTTGTCGTCGTCCCACTGGGTTTTGCCAACCAGTTGCGGGCGGGCGGGGGGTGATGACATATACATCGAATGTGATATAACGCGGATGCGGCCCGAAGTAATAGCAAGCAGTGTACGGCAACACCCGCTCAGCGCTTCAATAACTCACGATGTAAGGTCCACAAAGGCAAACGTGCGCGTTGCATGCTTGAGAAAAAAGGGGCTCGAGAGAGAGAGAGAGGGAGGACATATAGAAAGAGAGAAAACAAGAGGGATAACTATATAGATGCACGAAGGCAGAGAGAGCACGCTGACTGAGACAAGGGGAAGCGTAGAAGGGGAGAGAAACAAAGAGAGACAGAGAGAGAGAGGGAGAGAGAAATGACGATGGAAATATATATGAAGAGACACACACACAAACGGATAAACCATCTCGCCGAACATGTTGCGTCAAGGGGGGGCTCTCCGTCGGTGGCGATGCGTGTTCCTGCCCAAGCCTCCCCACAGACGGGATTTAGAGGAGGACGAGGGTGGACATGGAAGGAATCGGCTCGACTGGCAGGCGTCAAGGGCTTTTGTTCTGCTGAACGCCTTGACGGAGGCGGTCACATTGAGACAGAAGCCGTGCTCGCGTCCCCTACTTGCTCACACTTGCTTTATCGGGCATCGCGTGTAACCCAAACTTGCTCTTGAAGAGGTGGGGTGGGGCTGGAATGAACGGGTCAGCGAGGGACTGGCTTGAACTGGTCGTGGCCATCCTCAGGCCTGCTTGAACTGCGGTGGCCGAGAGCGCCACATGTTGCATCACCAATAGTATCATCTTTCGACAAATCGGCGACGATCGCAGAAATCCACGGCGCGACTCATAACTCGGCAGCGATCGGGACACCCTGTAATGGAAACGCTGGCAAGAACTCAAAAGCGAAACCAACGGCGCAACCAATAGCGAGACGTTGATACGGAGGTCCTCGGCAACTCCCCCCGCACCTCCTTCCCTCCTGATGCGTCTCCTCCACCTCAGCCTCGGCCTCTTCCTCACCCTTATCCTCGTACTCTTGGAACGCCCATGATGGGGTCGAGACCGATGGGGGCAATGCGGCCCCAAATGCGATCCAAAATCGGAGTCGGCTAACGGTGCGCAAACGAGGTGGTTCAACTATTGGGCGGACGGCGCTCGCTGCGAAAGCGATTGCGAAAGCTACGCAAACTTTGCCGGCGCGCCGAAGGGAAAGTGAGAAGGGGCAGGCCTTCTCAGAGGGCGTCGTGGCTTCTCAGAAGCAATCAGGCTTTCTGAAGAGTGCACTGTGCTGCACTTCTGGGGAGGCCCGCTCCCTCTGGCTTCCCCCCCCCCGGCGCGCCGCCGAGAAAGGAACAATACGTGTTCTCGGTCGACGCCCCCGTTCTGTGCGCCACCACTTCGGCTCTCTCGATCCTCTTCCTCGCACGCGCCTGCGAGCCGAAGGTCTCCACGATCAGCGCCCGAGCTGGATGCGCACAGTTGCGGCCAGCGCGCGAGGTTTGCGCTCGCTGACTTCGATCTCTCGATCCTCCTCCTCCCCCGCCTCCTGGGCGCTCTCACCCGGCCTCCGCCTGCTCTCCCGTGGCCTACCCTCTCGCATTTGCGTCTGGGCTCTGCCTCCCTCCCTCCGCTCCCTTACAGGGGGCAAGAACAAGGGGAGACCGTCTCAGGGGAAACACCGAGCTGGAGTCGACGGCACATCGCCGACAGATCGGCAACAGGACCCCGACAGCGAAACCGACTCTTCCTGGGCGGTTTTGGACTATCGGGCCCCCGTTGGTGATGAATGGGCGATTGGGAACCGATGTGCCCTCCACCCCACCACCTGAGACTTACCCCCCGACTTTGCTCCTGACGCACCTCCTCCGACGTCGTGAGCTCTGCCACGATGTAGAATGAAGTTATCTTGTGGGTCGTTTGCTGTGGATGGTCCCACGGGGCCCGAGAAAAAGATCCCCAGGTCGCTGTGTGCGGCCGGGGACGTTTGCTCAGTGTGTCGCGGCGGCGACCCCCTGCGAATTGCTCCGTTCGGACCGTGAACGCTCGGGGGCCAGACTTGGACAGACCTCGCGGCCGGACGCGGAAATTGCATACACCCTGCGAAATGCTTAAGAAATCATGGGTTAAGAAATTCATAGTCTCAGAAATGGAATAAAACCCAGAACTTCTATCAAAATCTTGGGATTTATATTGAAAAATTAAGAATAATCAAGACTCTGGACGAAAACTTAGGTTTTCTTAAGCATCGCCTAAGGTGTACGCTCCTGACCCGAATGGCTCCCCGGAGACCCCAAAAGCGGGAAGGCGCGCCGGCCGTGTTCCACCGTCGAGTGGAGGCCTGCGCCCCGGTCGCCTCAAAGTCGAGCCCTGGACCTGTCCCAGAGCACATCCTGCCCAGGAGGAATCTGGGCGACTCGTCCCCACTGGCCACCAAGAGGTCCAGGAAGGATGGAAGACATGTGAAAGCCGATCTCATCCTCCTCTGGATCCTCCTGTTTCTTTCCCTCCTCCTCCCGCTACCCTACTCCATCCTCTGTGCAGCCTCCTCCTTCCTCGTTCCTCCCACTCGGGTGGGGAAGGAGGAGAGGGCCACTTCTCCCTCCTCAGGCCACCTCCGTATACATCTCTCCTTCTCGTCGCATCACCAAAGCATGCCTGCAGGGCGCGCCGTGCAGTTTCGCCTCAGGCCTCCTCACCGCTTACGACCTGGTGGCCTTAGCTCTGGCGCTGGGAATACTTATGCTGGAAGCCTATAAAGGGTTACAAGAAAAAAGGAACCCATGTTTGAAATCTGGTTCTCGCCGTAACGCAGTGTAGATTTCCCGTAGGCTCTTCAAACAGCCAAACGGATGCATGCGGCGCCAATCGGAAAAAAATGAATCTCGCCCGCGCGCGCCCACCAGCTACAAGTATGTATGGAGGGAAGGCCGTTTTCAAAATGCGATTCTCGCCGCAGCTTCGCGCACCTGGTCCATAACATATTCCAGCATCGACAAGGCTGGAGGGCGGATGATGTTTAAAAGGTGGTTGCCTCTAAGCGCCAAACTCATTCGCGTCCAAAGCGTCCAGGGGGGCTTCTTTTCAAGGTCGACCTCCCTCTTCTTGAGTATGCCTCGGAAGCCCTGGCCATGTGTTTAAGACAACAAAGCAGCTACACGAATGGAGGGTGGTTACTTGTTACGATGGAATTGAAAGGCGCGCTACACAACGAAACCTTCTTCAGCAGCTGCACGGATAGAGAGCTGTTCTGCTGCTCTCGCTGGACATTTCTTCAAACTTATGTGATGTTCGCTCCTACGTCCTTCCGCCTGTATGGCAGACCCATGGCCTTACATGGTTTTGTTTCTACAGGTTTGCACTTTCCGCTCTTGGCTCCACAAACAATACTCAAAATGGCACCCCAGACAATGGGCGTCAGGCAGGCGGCGGTGCGACATGAAAACGTAAAAAGAAACAATGCAACACACACAATGTGCAGGTGGGCCCCGGACCGATCCCGGAAACGTGGCGTCTGAAGTATTCGGCTGCACTCCTTCCTTCTGAATATGCGATTATCCTCCTCCTCCTCCTCCTCCTCCTCCTCCTCCGCCTCGTCCTCAGTCGGACCCCTCGTCGGCGTTACTGTCGGTGTCGCCGTCGACGCGGCTGTCGGTGCAGCCCGCGCGGCTGCTGGTGCTGCAGTCGGCGCGGCTGCTAGCGCTGCAGTCGTCGTCGCTGTGGGCGAGGCTGTTGGCGCAGCTTGCGGTGAACTCATCGGCGCCATCGTCGGTGCCGCAGTCGATGCCATCGTTGGACTGGCCAGGTGCTCGTCGTCGGTGCCGTTGTCAGCGCAGTCGCTCGAAACCCAGATGGAGTCAGACGCCGAAAAACTTGTAGCCCACCTCCCAGCGACATCGCCGGATGCCTCGCACTCCATACTTGAAGGGACCTTTGGACACACAAATAAATAGACCCAAATAACCGGATTCCCCATATTTTCCTATATTTTCTGGGTTTATGTCTTCCCCCCCACTTCCCATATTTTCCCATATTTTCTGGGAATCGGCGATTAATTGTGTCTGTGGGTTTTTTCCCCTCCTGAATACTCGCCTTGTGCTTTGCCGCCCCCCCCCCTCCTCCGTGCTTTTTGCTCGGTCGCCTCGGACTCGCGCGTCGCCGGCACGAGGGCCCCAGCCGCTGGCGAGGCCGAGCGCGCCCTTTCTCTCCATCAGCTTGGCGCCGCACTCCGCGATGTCGCGGGTACAATTAGGAGGCAACTGCTGGGAGGTTTTCGTCGGAAAGACTAAGGAGGATTAAGCCCCATTTGGGAGCTGTTACGCCGGAATGGGCCTCGGATTAAGCGGGATTAAGCTGGATTAAACGGGATTAAGCGGGATTAAGCGGGATTTAGCTGGATTAAACCGAATTTCGGACCAGGGCGAAAACAGAATTTGACCTCCCAGGAGTTGCATCTGAAGTACAATGGCTGATTTGTAGGCTCTCGGGCACGCCCATCGCATCGTGCCAGATGATCGTCCACCAGTCCGCCAGCGCGGCCTGGGTCGCCTCGGTCGCCTGCGGGCCGCTGTCCAGGTCGAGCCTGCTGTCCGAGACGCCCTCCACGATCCCGGACCTGAAGTGCACCCCGTCGACGCCGCTGTTGGCGCCGCAGTCGGCTCCAAGGCTGGCGCTGCCGCCGCTGTCGTCGTCGTCGTCGGCGTGACTGTCGAAGTAGCTGTCGGCGAGGCTGCTGACGCCGCCGTCGGCTCGGCTGCCAGCGTCGCAGGCGGCGCGGTCGCCGGCACAGCTGCCAGCGGGGCTGCCCGCGCCGCGGTTGGAGCGGCTGTCGATGTCGAAGTCGGCGTGGCAATCGGCACAGCTGTCGGTGAGGCTGTTGACGCCGCAGCCGACGCCGCTGTCGGTGCCGCTGCGGGCGCCGCTGTCGGTGCCGCTGTCGGTGCCGCTGCGGGCGCCGCTGTCGGTGCAGCTGTCGAAAGGGCTGCTGGTGTCGCTATTGGCGCGGTCGTCGTCGCAAGTCGGGGCCATTGCTGGTGCCGCCGTAGCCGCGGCAGGCAGTGTCCCTGGCGTCGCGCCAGTCCATGCCGTAATCGGTTCATCTGTAGACGCAGCTGTGGGCCGGTTTGTCGGTGCCGCCGCCAGCGCCGCTGTCCGCGCCGCTGCTGATGCCGCTGGCGGCATGGCCGTCGGCGCAGCTGTCGGCAAGGTTGTCAGTATCGCAGTCGGCGCGGCTGTCAGCCCCTTGGCACACGAAGCCCTCAGAGCAGCTGTCGGCGAGGTTGTCGGCGCCGTAGTCGGCGCAGCTGTCCGTTCTGCTGCTGGCGCAAATGTCCGAGCTGGCGTCGCCGGTAGTGTTGGTGCTGGCGGCGGAGCTGCCGTCGGTGCTGGTGCTGGTGCAGGCGCTGGCGTTGGTGCCGCCGTAGGCGCAGGCAGGCGTTGGTGCTGGCGTCCTTAGCCTCCTCAGCTACCTCGCCCTCATCCTCGTCCTCCTCCTCCTCGTCCTCATCCTCGTCGTCCTCAGCCTCGGGGCCGGCGTTAGCATAGACGTGGGCGTCCGATCGGCATCTGCGGCAGCGTGCTGGCGTCGGCGATGGCGGTGGCGGTCGGGCAGGCGATGGCGTTGGTGCCAGCGTAGGCGCAGGCGTTGGCGTCTTCAGTCCCCTGGGCTTCCTCGTCCTCCTCTGCCGTCTTCGCCTCCTCCTCCTCTTCCTCCTCTTCTCCTCCTCCTCCTCCTCCTTTCCCTCTCCAGCCTTAGGCTCGGGGCCGGCGTAGGCACAGGCGCTGGCGTCCGAGCTGGCGCCAGAGGCCGCGACGGTGCCGGCCTCGGAGCTGGCGTCGGCGCCGGCGCAAGCCCTGGCGTTGGTGCCGACGTAAAAGCAAGCATCGGCGCCGACGTCCTCAGCCTCCTAAGACTCCTCTGGCATATTCGCCTCATCCTGCTCCCCCATTTTCTCCTCTTCCTCCTCAGCCTTGGCCTCGGGGTTGGCGTCGGTGTAGGCGTGGGTGTCCGAGCTGGCTTAAGTAGAAGCGTTGGTACTGGCGTCGGAGCCGGCGTCCGCGCTGGTGTTGGCGCTGACGTTGGTCCCCATGCAGGCGCAGGCATAGGCGCCGGCGTCCTCAGCCTCCTCAGCCTCCTCGACATATCCTGGCATCTTCGCCCCCTCTGGCCTAGGGGCTTGCCGCTCCCCTAGCGTCGGACGGCGTCTCCTCTCCTCCGCCAGCCTCCGAGGAGCTCCTCGGCGAGAGGCCCTGCTGGCCCCCGCGTCCCTGGAGCTTCTGCCGTCAGCACTGGCCTCGACCTTGGTCACTCGCTCGCGCGCCGCCCGCCGCTGGCGCTGGCCACCGCTGGCGGCGGAGCTGCTGTCGGCGCTGGTGCAGGCGCTGGCGTAGGCGCCGCCGAGGGCGCAGACATTGGTGCCAGCGTCCTCTGCCTCATCAACTTCCTCGCGCTCGTCCGGCATCTTCGCCTCATCCTCCTCATCCGTAGCCTTGGCCGTGGGGCCCGCGTAAGCGTAGACGTTGGCGTCCGATCTGGTGTCGGCGGCAGCGTTTGCGCTGGCGTCAGGGCTGGCGTTGGCGCTGGGGCGTATGGTCTGTCTTGGAAGTTGTTGGAATGTCCTTCAAGGGGTGTTGCGAATGATAGGTTGTAGATTGCGTCGGCTAGACTGTTGCCTAATCTGGTGCCTTCGGTAGGGTGTGCTGTTCTGCTGGAGCTGGTGCAGGTGCAGTGGGCAGCTCTGTAGGACTCGATGAGTTGTGCCGCTAGATGTCGTCGTCCTCCTCCTCCTCCTCCTCCGCCTCCTCTTCCTCCTCCTCCTCCTATTCCTTCTCCTCCTCCTCCTCCTCCTCCTCCTCCTCATCCTTCTCGTCCTCCCACCTCCTCCCCCCCGCCCGTTGGCCTTCGCCCGCCCCGCACAGCGCCGCCAGGGCGGCGAGCGCGAGCCGCGGCGCGCGCGGCGCGCGCATCGCGCCCGCGAGGCCGCGGGGCGGCGCTGGCCGCGCCTCTGCCGAGGGCACAGCCGGGTCAGGGACACGACTCTGCCACTCCCCGTCGCTCGGGCGTCCATTCCCTGCGTTTTTGTCGGTTTCGTGCGTGGTCTTTTCGCAGGATGATCCAGTATGCTCCTTAATAGTCCCCGCCGAAAAAAAGGACACACGTCCGAGCGATACCAAGGCCATGAGAGCCGGGTGTTGCGATTTCGTGCGTTTTCGCCCGGTTTCTGGCCCGGGGACACTTTTCTTTACCATGTGAACAGGGCGCCCCACGGCTGAGAGGGAGGAGGGGGGGGAAGGGAGGAGCAGGAGGAGCACCGAATTAACTAGTCTGGCGGCTCTGGCCGAGTCAGGGACACGATTCTGCCATGAGATCCCGGTGTTGCGACTTCGTGCGTCTTCGCGCGGCTTCTGGCCCCGGGACCCTCGCAGATCGATTCAGAGCGCAAAGGGAAGCAGAAAGATAGGGACTGGGGCTCCTGTCATGACTTTTCGCGGCCCTGCCAATTTTCGCCACGTCGGATCTGAGGGTGGTAAGACTTCTTCGGACTGCACACAAACAGCACCCCCAAACATGCCCGGCTGGCCTCAACAGGCCATCCGAGTAGCCCCAGCTGGCCTCAGCAGGCCTCCCAAGTAGCCCAGGGTGGTCTCAACACCCGATCACGCTCCAGAGGCGGCGCTTGGGTGTTGGGACCGCCCTGGGCTACTCAGGGGCCTTGCTGGCCTGCTGAAGCCAGCTAGGGCTACGCGGGGGGCCTGTTGATGCCAGCTGGGACTACCTGGGGGGGATGTTTGCGCGCAGCTCGAAGCCTTGCCACACAGTTCCCTCGAGTGCGGCGTCGGGAACCTGTGCGTACATAGAGTGTCTCGGCGGCGGCCCCGGCGGCACGCTATGCCCTGCGATCGGATCGGGTCCGCTCCGCACGGCAGGGTGAGAGGCTGGCAACAACTCGGGACGTTGACGCTAGGGAATGGGGACGACGACAGCACGTCGCGCCGAAACGTGGTGGGCCAGAACCGGCGGAGTGACACGCTAAGCCAAAGCTCCTGACCCTAATCCGTCCCACTTGCTGCGAGGGAGATGCTGGTGGGCACGAACGGCCTGTTTTCATCCTCGCTGGCATGTGCATGACCATGTCAAAGATCGCTTCACACTTTGGGCGTTGCGACCGCAACCGCCTAGGGGCGAAACGCGTCTTCTTTGAACAAGCCCAGAAACCTAAAGCGCAGGGATCCCCCTTAACATCTCCATCGTGGCAGCGAGGATGGAAGGGTGCTGAAAAGGAGAAAGTCTTCCGTAGTAGAAGGAAGATTGGGGGAGGTCTGCTCCTCCCCTCCTCCTGCTTCTGCTGTTCCCTTCTCAATGGAAAGCCAACATAACACAACGGCAATTCTGCCGCTAAGACGGAGCCAAGACCCAGACAAATCGGCGATCTCTCAGAAAAGGAGGTTCTGGATGATGTATCGAACGCAACGGCCTTCTCAAATCGTTCTGGAACGCTCTTAAAACGTCCTACAAAACTCTGGGGAGAGTTATCCGTGTCCCCGCCCGAGGGGTGGGGTCCATTGAATCAGTCCAGTTGGTTCTCGAGAGGCCAACTCTGTGGAAGCCTTCTGGACGCCGATGGGGGAAGCTAGGATGAAGTGAGAGGACTTGGGAGGACTCGTAGATTCTGGAGGCGCTCTTTTGTACATGCGGATTCTTTTCCATATCGTCTATAAAACAAGTGTTGTCTGTGTATTCCCTGGGTGCTCCAACTTGTCATAAGGATTCCTTCCAACATTCTATATACAACAATGGTTTTGTGTTGCACACGGTTGCTTTGGTGCACACAGGCGCCGCGGTGTACACAGGCGCAGGTGGTGCACGCATGCACTCTGGTGTACACTGGTGATGTGTTGCAGACGGCTGCTGTGATGTACGCAAGCGCTGTGGTGTACACAAGCGCTGTGGTGCACGCGGGCACTGTGGTGCACACTGGCGATGTGTTGCACGCGGCTGCTATGGTGTATATAAGCGTTGTGGTATACACAGGCGTTGTGGTGCACGCAAGCACTGTGGTTCACACAGGCGCTGTGGTGCAGATCGCCGCTTACATGCTGTTCCTAGCCGTCCTCGGCCAATCTGGGGTATTCCCAAACACCGCCGGCGCGAAACGTGACGTCACCAGCGCCCCTACCCCCCCCCCGGTGACGCCCGTTAACGAAAAACGGTTCTTGGTCCACGGGAATGGGTCCAGACCTCTGGGGGCCCACGTCATGACAAAAGAACAGTGACGCTGTCGGGGGTCTGGGAGGGGGGAGGGGAAGGAGAGGAGGCGTAGGAGGAGGAACTGTACAGTGAACCGGTATCGCGAACCTGCCCTCGTCGCCACGGCTGGGACTGGCCCGACCCTTCAGGGAGTGGAGATCAGGGAGTCAGGGAGTTGAGATCCGGGAGTTGAAACCGCCTTGAAGCCGCTGAGATCGGGGAGCGGCGATATGGGTACGGGGGGGGCATGGGCCATGGCCCAGGTCCCCGACGACATGTTTTGTTTGAATTTCGTCGGCTTTCGTCGACTTCGGCATCTTGGGGGCAGCTTTCGGGCCCCGTTGGCCATCAAGCCTTCAAGCATGGATCGGGAGCAGAAAAGTACCTCTCAGGGGAACGTCAGGACATCTGGAGGTGCGCATTGAAGGAACGTCAAATCGGCGGGTGTGAGGTGAGGGGGACAGGGAGGAGGGGCGAGGAGGGGTGAGGGGGAGGGAGTGAGGGGGGGGCGAGGGGTCGAGGAGGAGGGCAAGGAGGAGAGGGGGATGGAGGCCGGGGGGGGCGCCTTTCGATGCGTCCTTTGCGCGGCTCCACGCGCGGTTTTGGCGGCGCCGACCGTGTGGGCAGGGCGTCCCGCTGCAGGGGTCGTTCGGCCGTCCGCGCCAGGGCGCCCAACGCCGCAAAAGAAAAACGCTGGAACGCAAACTCTGCCATTTTTCGGTCACCCCTGGGAGGGAAGGGGGCTCCTCCGTCCCCTCGCCCTCCCCCCCCAAGCCTCCAACGTCTTGGGAAAATCGATGCGCAGCTTTTCCCCGTTTTTTGGTCCTCCGGGGGCCCTCCCTGGGCACTGGGGACCGCCAACAAAAAAACGACCGAGCACGACAAGCCAGCCCCGGGGAAGCGGTCGGGGCTTCCGAGGCATCCGCACTGCAAAGCCAAGGCATCGGATCTCGGACTTCCGCGGGTTCCCGCCAGCGGATCCACCGCCGCCTTACTTCCGCCGGCACCCTCCGGAAGCGAGCGGCGCTGGATGCGAGGCGAGTCCTGGAGCGCCTCAGTATTCCTCCCTACTTTCTCCCACTCTCCCTCCTCCACCGCCCACTCCTGCCCCATATCCTCCCTCCGCCATCTCCGTACGAACTCGTCATCCTCCGCCTTCCACCCTCGTCCAGATCTCCGTCCTACCTCCTCTGGCACCACGTTCTTCCCTTCTCTGTCCTCGTCCATCTAATCAGTGTGCCCTCGCGCCGAAACCGCTGCTGAGCAACCTTCTCGTCCTCCTCCCCTTCCACCTCCCGCCATCCCCCCCCCCTCCCTATCCTTCCTCTTCCTCCTCCATTCGTCCCTTCACCTCCCACACCTCCTCTATCATCCACCATTCATGCTCCTCCTCCCCCTTCTCCCCCTCCCCCTCCTCCCTCCGACGCCGCACGCCACAGTACTACTGGGCGCAGCGAGAGAGTCCCAAACCTTCCTGCTCTCTCCACAACTACACAATCCGTATACCACTGTCATTTCTCCCCTGACTCTGTCCGGGAGATGTTCGGCCCTTTTCGAGTATTGCTTCTACTACACAATGGTATTACCTCTATGGTTTTGGCGATCCGATTGTTCCCGGTATTTCAGAATGGTGTTCCAGCTGCCCACATTGTTCAGAATGGCGCTCTCGCTCTAGCGCGGGCCGCGTTTCTGGATCCGAGTCTGATCATCACCCCTCTCAATTCCCCTTCTTCGCCTTCCCTTGGTCCTCCTGCTCCTCCCACTTTCCACCTCAATTCCTGCTTCTGTTGCTTCTGTGCGTCCTCTTCCTCCTCCTTCCTCATCCTCGCCCTCCTTCTTTTACTCCTGCTCATCCTCCTGCCCATCCTCCTGGTCACGCGCCACCGCCTCTTTCTTCTCCATATCCTCCTCCTTCTCCTCCTCCTCCCCGCATCCATGCAGCTCTACCCTTTTCCAATTGGCATAACAGGACGAGTCTTCCTGGGAGATCCAGGTCGCGTCCGCGGATAACAGATCAGCACAATGGGACGGGATGGGAGGGAGGGACGGGATGTGAGGTATGGCGCGAGCGAGAGCGCGCCCAGCTTCCCCCCCCCCTCTGCCATCCCCCTCGACGGGCGCAACTCCGACGGGCAGTGAGACCGATGGAGGACGACCAGGACGGCAAGGACGCCATGGACACTGACGACGGCCAGGACGACGACGAGTACAATGACGACGAAGATGCCGCCGACGACGGAGAGAGGAGCGACGAGGACGAGGCCGACGTCGTGGGGGAAGGGGGAAGCAGGAAGAGGAGAGGAAGAAAAGGGCGGAGAGGCGGGAGGAAGAGGAAGAAGGAAGTGCGGAGGAAGAGGAAGGAGAAAAAGAGCCAGAGGCCGGGAGGGATCCACATCCACCGCATATGGAGCCGATGTCGTCGGACTCTGCGGGTCGTTGGGTACGGACATATTTGGGCCCCTGGGGTAGCCCAGCTTATGCAGATCCACCGCCTGCCGAGGTCCCCGAGGATCGCTCCCCCTGGGCGGTGGTTCTGGACAACTGCCCGCCTCGGAGAGAGGGAACTGCCGAAGAAACTGCTGTCGGTCTTCGTCCCCGCTTTTGCCATGGCAGTTACGATCGTACCGAGCGGCGGCGACGATGACTACCTACCAGACCACCCCAACCCAACCCGAAGACCCGAATTTCGGGTTGGGGGGGGTAAGGGTTCCACACGTGT